GCCCTCTGAGATTTTCATGCTGGCCCAGGCTGGGAGTGTTCAGAATCTCCCAGTCCTATAGACCACCGGCTAGCACCTGCACGGACCTCTCTCAGGGAAGGGTGTGGAGCGTGACTTAGACACTGGTCACACAGCATGCATGCAGAGTGCAAAAAGCTGTTGTTCTATAGAGCGGAGGCTGGCATCCACACCAGATTCCCTCATGGGCGCTGCCACCCTGATGCTCTCAGGCACACCAATGGCTCAGGGACCAAGACCTGGATTCTTTGCTGCACTCTCTGGTTCCACAACAGGATGGCCATCCTGGTCTGTGGGCTAGGTCCCACTCCCTAACCGCCCAATTCCACCAACTCCCCCTTAAGAGCTTTTGCACTTTTTGAGTGCTTTCAACCAGACTCCAAGTTAATGCTGGCCCCCAATCACAGGGCACTCTTGTATTGGGGTATTACTTTCCAATGGGTTGCTTCTGGTGGCTCTCTCCACTTTTGTTTATCTTCCAATGTCAGTCCAATATTCCCACTCCGCTTTACCTGTCCACTGGCATCTTCTGCCTCCGTAGAGATCCAGAAGTGTATTATTCTAATCTCAGGCTGATTTCATGGGTATTCAGAGTTCTTTGGTAGGTAATCAGCTCACTTTAGGAGACCAGGTGAAACAGCACCTCCTACTTCCCTGCCATTTTGTCTCCCCCTTCAGTTTGTTTCTTGTAATTAAGAGTCTTATGGTTTGCCTCCCTCTCTACTTTTATCTTACTTTACTTCTTTTTCCCTTGCCCTATGTTCATCTGTTTTGTTTCTTAAATTCCACATATGACTGAAATCATATGATATTAGTCTTTCTCTGACTGACTTATTTCACTTAGCATAATACCCTCAAGTTACATCCATGTTGGTGCAAATGACAAAATTTCATTCTTTTCAATGATTGAGTAATATTCCAATGTATATATATGTATACCACCTCTACTTTATCCACTCATCCTTCAGTGGACATTTGGGCTCTTTCCATAGTTTGGCTACTATGCACATTGCTGCTATAAACATTGGGATACTAGTGCCCCTTTGAATCACTATGTTTGTATCCCTTGGATAAATACCCAGTAGTACAATTGCTGAGTCATAGGGTAGCTCTATTTTTAACTTTTTGAGGAACCTCCATACTGTTTTCCAGAGCTGTTGCACAAGCTTGTATTCCCACCAACAGTGTAAATGGGTTCCCCTTTCTTCCCATCCTCACCAACTCTGTTGTTTCCTGAGTTGTTAATTTTAGACATTATGACCAGTGTGAGGTGGTATCTCATTGTGGGTTTGATTTGTATTTCCCTGATGACAAGTGATGTGGAGCATTTTTTTTTTAATGTGTCTGTTGGCCATTTGTATGTCTTCATTGGAGAAATGCCTGTTCATGTTTTCTGCCCATTTCTTGACTGGATTCTCTGTTTCTTGGGTTTTGAGTTTGATAAGTTCTTTGTAGATTTTGGCTACTAGCCTTTTATCTAATAAGACATTTGCAAATATTTTCTCCCATTGCATAGGTTGCCTTTCAGTTTTGTTGTTTCCTTTGCTGTGCAAAACACTTTTTATCTTGATAAAGTCCCAATAGTTCAATTTTGCTTTTGTTTCCATTGCCTTTAGAGATGCGTCTAGCAAGAACTTGCTATGGCTGGGATCAAAAAAGTTTCTGCTTGTGTTGTCTTCTAGGATTTTGATCAATTTCTGTCTCACATTTAGGTCTGTCATCCACTTTGAGCTTGTCTTTGTATCTGGTGTAAGAAACTGGTCCACATTCATTCCTCTGCATGTAGCTATCCAATTTTCCCAACACGGTTTGCAAAAGAGACTGTCCCTTTTCCACTGGATATTCTTTCCCACTTTGTTGAAAAATCAATTGATCATAGAGTTGAGGGTCCATTTCTAGGTTCTCTATTCTTCAAATATTTTAAATATTCAGTGTATATTATATAAATGACTATGAATTAGTCAGGTACTAATTTTCTAGCCATTAATCAATTAATAACGACTAATTTACTAATCATTAGTCAATTACTATGCATTAGTAAACATTAATTGAATCTCATATATTCCTATTAATAAAATATTCATTGTATTAATTGAGGGGGTTATTTTAAAATCCAGAAAACAAAATTGACATAAAGGCAGACAATGATTTGTGTAAATTCTTTCTCTATCCTAATTTTAAAATAAACAAATGGTCAGTTGGATGGAAAAATAACTGTGACCACAGCTAAGATGCAAAAATCACTTCTGAGGGGTGCCTGGGTGGCTCAGTGGGTTAAAGCCTCTGCCTTCGGCTCAGGTCATGATCCCAGGGTCCTGGGATCGAGTCCCACATCGGGCTCTCTGCTTGGCAGGGAGCCTGCTTCCTCCTCTCTCTCTGCCTGCCTCTCTACCTACTTGTGATCTCTGTCTGTCAAATAAAGAAATAAAATCTTTTTTAAAAAATCACTTCTGATGTATAATCACTGTACTAAATATTTTTCACGTGTCAGCGCAAATCATCCCCCCAACAACCTGTGCAGTAGAAACTGGTATTGGACCATGTGACAGATGAGGAACTGAGGCACAAGGAGATTAACTAGCATGGCCAAGGTCACACAGCTGGTTGGTGGCAGAACTGGAGTCACATCCAGTCTGGCACTCACACTATGTGCCTATCTTGATGACACAAGTGCTCAGCTGCATCAGCAAGCCCTGGCCATCTGGCGTCCCTAGGGAGTTAAGTATAAAGGTCAACAAACTTTTTCCATAAATGGCCAGATAATCAATATTTCCAGCTTTGTGGTTCCTATGGTCTCTGTGGCAACCACTCAGCTCTGTCCTCAGAGCATAAACAAGGCCATAGACACTTTGGGAGGGATGAGTGTGTGTTCCAGTAAAACCCACTTACAAGAGTAGACAGCAGCTGCTTTCTTTGCCAATGCCTACCTTCGAAGTTTCCCTTTGATGCTTCCTGGTGGGTGCATTTGTCCCTCTCTGACACTTAACTATAGAAAACAGATGTAGGGCTGCTGGAGAGGAGATGTGTGGGAGTATGGGGTAACTAGATGATGGGCATTAAGGAGGGCACTTGAAGTAATGTGCACTGGGTGTTTTATGAAACTGATGAATCACTAAATTCTACCTCTACAACCACTAATACAGTATACACTATGTTGAATTTAAATAAAAAAATTTCAAATACAAACAAAGCAAACAAATTTCAGTTCCTTCAGGGAAACTTCTTCCAACTGTTGGGATTCCTATACCCCAAGAAGATTATGGATCCAGCTACATATCCTCACATATCCTCATAGACGATCATAAAGTTCATCATCTTGATGTTGTCTATTCTCTAATTGTTGATCCTCCAACTTCATTTGTGTCTCCCAGAGGACTGAGACCACTCTAACCTAATCACATCTGGGTCTTCAGAGCCAACTACAGATCCTGACACAAAGGTTACACTTCATATTTGTCCAAAATATATTTTTACTGATTTGATTCCTTTTTTATATTTTTTTATTTTTTTAATTTCTTTTCAATGTTCCAGAATTCATTGTTTATGCACCACACCTAGTGCTCCATGCAATACCTGCCCTCCATAATACCCACCACTAGGCTCAGCCAACCTCCCACCTCTATTCTCTCCAAAACCCTCAGTTTGTTTCTCAGAGCCCACATTCTCTCATGGTTCATTTCCCTCTCCAATTTCCCCCAACTCACTTCTCCTCTCCTTCCCCCATATCCTCCATGTTATTCCTTATGCTCCACAAATAAGTGAAACCATATGATAATTTACTCCCTCTGCTTGACTTATCTCACTCAACATAATCTCCTCCAGTCTTATCCATGTTGATACAAAAGTTGGGTATTCATCCTTTCTGATGTATACATAGTGTACATGGACCATATCTTCTTTATCTATTCATCCATTGAAGGGCATCTTGGTTCTTTCCACAGTTTGGCGACTGTGGCCATTGCTGCTCCCAACATTGGGGTACAGATGGACCTTATTTTCACTACATCTGTATCTTTGGGATAAATATCTAATAGTGCAATTGCAGGAAAAATTCACTTATTTCTGCAAACATTTTAAAGGATGTTCAGCTTATTCCATGTTAACCATTCTGTAGTAAAGTTGTTTTTAAGAAACATAAATTCCTTTCAAGGAGCTCTTTTAAGTCTTAGTCTTCAGAAATGCTGGCAAAAATTCATTTGTTTCTTATGTCAAGCAGAGAGAGTCAATTAACATGTGGTTTTGCTTATTTGTGGAGCATAAAGAAAAACATGAAGGATATGGGGAGATGGAGAGGAGAAGAGAGTTGGGGGAAATTGGAAGGGGAGATGAACCATGAGAGACTGTGGACTCTGAGAAACAATCTGAGGGTTTTGGAAAGAAGAGAGGTGGGAGGTTGGCTGAGCTTGGTGATGGGTACTAAAGAGGGCAGGTATTGCATGGAACACTGGGTGTGGTGCATAAACAATGAATTCTGGAACACTGAAAAAAATTGAAAAAATATTTTTTTAACTTCTCTTATTTCTGCGAACATTTCTGAAGGCCAAGACCTAAAAGAGCTCCTTGAAAGGAATTTATGTGTCTTAAAAACAAGATTATTACAGAATGCTTCACATGGAATAAGCTGAACATACTGAATGTATACAATCTAATGCTTTTGGGGATAAGTATACACCCATAGAACAATGACCACTATCAAAGGCATATACAAAGTTTCAATATTATAAGATAAATAGGGTCGAGATTTCAATTATTAACAATTGTAATTATAGCTGATAGTACTGTATTGTATGCTGAAATTCTGTTATGAGGATAGATCTTATGTCCAATGTTCTTACACAACAGCAACAGTAAAATAATACTAATTAATAACAATGATGAAGGGGGCAGGAGGAAACATTAGGAGGGGAATGGTATGTTTATTTATCAATCCTTTATCCATAAAGGCCCATGTTTTCTTGCATGTCTTCTTATCTTTCTCGTAGATGTTGGCTCCACACAGACAAAGGATTCATATGGACATTCCTTGGCCCCATCTGCTCTATCTGCTCTGTGAGTAATGGATGACATCAGAGAAGCCCACTTGCCCAACCAAGGGTCATTCAAAAATCAGGTGTATCAGGAGGGTGACAGACTGGGTGAGCAATCATTCCAGTTGGCCCAGGACGGATGAGGGGCTCCCAGGAGGTGGGAATTCCCACTGTAAAACCAGGAATCAGGTGTTTCCTGAGACGTAGCACTTCCAGTGCTAAAACTTGAGATTCCCATGCAAACTCAATTGAAGTGGTCACTGAAGTTACAGGACAAACATGGGCCTGATTTAGGGGGTGTTTGGTCTGTTTCTCTAGGACTGTTATGAAACACAAAAGCTTCTTCCTTGCCACATTAGCAGCTGGATGAGCTAGGATTTTCCAAATGTGGAGTGTAGTTAAAATGCCTGTGGGTTTTCTGCAGATTAATTTGGCTTTCTTTCTGATGACCTTTTGGATTGTGACAAACAAGCTCTCCTCACTCAACAGTGACATGTCCACCCTCCAGAACACAAGGTGGGGATGGGTCACAGGGGCACACCGTGCCCCAGAAAGAACATTGCCCTCACGCCTCCAAGGCTCTGGTATCCCTTCATAGAACTCGTGAGGGGATAGGAAGACAGAAGGGCAGCAACCCTCCTTGGCAGCCAGCTCAGATTCTGTGGTTTGTTGCTGACACCCATACCAAAAATATTCCATCTGTGCACAACCTCAACAAACTACTTCAGCTGCAAAGAGAATTGACTTTGTTCTGATAAGCAGAGATTGCTATCAGGGATCTATGAAAAAGATCCTGTGAACATTCACATCCTTATAACACACTCAAGAAATAACATAACAGTTATTTTCAAGAAATAACATAACAGCACACCCTACCATGCCGACACCTTCATGCATGCTCTGCCCTCTGTTTTCCTCTTCTCTTGCCCCTGGTGGACTTAGCTTCATCATCCTCATATCACATCCTCTAAGAGTTTGGGGATGTCCTCTGCTTTCCTCAACTTTACACAGAATCAATGGCCTCTATTCCGGGCAAAGCATATCCTGGCTCAGTTCATGGAGAGGGTGAGGACAGGAACAGCCCTGGATGGAAAGAAGTACCTCACTTTGCAAATGTTACAAGTGATCATTTGTTCTTGTCTTTCCACCAGATTTTAAGGTCTGTAAGAACAGAGGTCTTGTTCTTTGTTCTTTTGAATGCCCTAGCCCCAGCCTAGAGCCAGGTGCATAGAATATTCTCAGTAAAGTCAGTTGAACAAAATTAGGGATCTTCATGAAACATCATGATCTTTTCAAGACTCACATTCTTGAGTGTCAACATTATCCCCAGCCCTAGTCAAATGCCATCCTGGACCCAAATAGTTTTTCTCTTTAGGAAATCATTGACAACAAAGGTCAAAGTTGATCACAGCTCAGTCAGAAGCATCATGGAGTGAACATGAAACCAGCCCTGGTTGTGTTGCACTGGATGCATCCTGACCTCCTTCCTCCTCCTACCCAGGATACTAACATTTAAAGCCACAGTTCAGCTGCTCATCTTGGACTTCACATGGTGTCTGGGCATCCTGAAGGTGGGTCCAGCTGCCCATATCATGGCTTACCTCTTCACTATCATCAACAGCCTGCAGGGAGTCTACATCTTCCTGGTGTACTGCATCCTCAGTCAGCAGGTACTACTTTCCAGTTCCTACCCAGGACCCTTACTATCCTCACTCCCTTCAGTGAGCTGACCCAGGCATTCTCTGACTCTACAGGTCCAGGAACAATACAAGAAATGGTTCAAAGGGATAAGGAAAACAAAAGCTGAGTCTGAGAAGTACATGCTGTCAAGTGGGACCATGTCTGATACCTCCAAACACAGTGTGGTAAGATTATGCAGTGTTCCCAGAACACTTCACTAACAAGTCCTCTTCAGAAGCTCATCCCTGCCTCACTGGACAACCTGGGTATATAGCAGGTAACGCTATTGGATGGTTCACTCTTAGTTTACCCTTGGACATACCTGAGGTCACTTCTCTGTCTTAAAAGGATGTCTTCCTATACTTATACTTATTGAGGTTCTATGCTCACATTGACCCTTGCAAAAGACTGCCCTCTTTCCCCAAAATTGTAGAACATCCACTTTGTGTGACATGTTGCATATGGTTTCTAATTGTACTTGGTTAGAAGATACAAAAGACAGTTACTTATAAGCAGAGAAGGAGGCTTGGTCAGCTAAATAATTAGGAATTAATGATCTGGAGCAGTAATGCACAAACTGCAGTCACCGCCCATTCTTTATTCCAGGTCACTCTGGAAAGAAAGTTAAACTCAGAGGGTTTATGTCAATTATGCAAGGTCTTCAGCCTCCCTTACTTTTCCCCAACTTCAGGGCCCCCCCACCCTCCCTGGAAAATCATCTGCCCATCTCTGCACCACTTGCTTGTCCTCCTTCTAAAACTGTTCCTTCCCAAATGCTCTACTCATCAAAATCTCATCCCTCAAACTCTTTCCTATTCCCAGCAGATGTTCTTACTGACTTCTTCATATAGAAAACATGAGTCAGCAGTAAGAAACAAGGTTAATTTTGAACTCTCAAAAACACCAGCCATTTGGCATCTTGTTCATTGTCTCCTCATTCCACCTTGTCACCACAGATAGAAAAAATATGCTTCCTACCTTTTATGGTTAATCCCTCCACCTGCACTTCTCCTGACTTCTCAGTTAGTTTACATTACTGATCACACAATTTCTCTCCAATATATGTGGTCTCGTGTCCTCAATAACATCCTTTCCACCTGCATTGCAACATGTTAAATCTCTGAGTCTGAAGTATTAATGTTATATGTTTGATCCTCCTTCTTCTTCCTCCAGATGTTCAAACCTAGATTTTACCTCCATCATTCTACCAGAAGAGATATCTCTTTGGCCTCCAATGTTCTCCACTTTTAAATATCTTTCGGTCCTCTTAGGTTTCTTGGTAGGAGTTGGTAATCTTGGGAGGACTGGATGCTGTTTGCCTCCTCTATTTTGAAATACTCCTCTTGTGTGTCTGGCTTCTATGACTCAACATTCTCTGGAAAACTTGCTAACTTTCTCCCTGAGCTTTCTTTATATTCTTTATATTTCAACTATGCTAACTGACTTCATTCTAAAAACACTTCTGTTCTCATAGATTTCATAAGAATCTCAAGATTTTATGATGTATGTAGATTAATGTTTAGGAAGGTTAATGAGTACATTTCAAAGTGTACGTCATGCCTGTGTATTGGAGGAGGCAGTCATGGGATATGGGGGAGATTTTTCTGACTTTGCTGTATATATACACTGTTAACATTATTTAAAAAGAGAATATTCACATATTTTTTATTGAAAATAAAAAGAAAATTTTTCGTTGCTGCAAAGCACAAGAAAGAAATTCACATGACGTGGATAACTATCTACTTTTCACTTTAAAGTGTTCACATCTAGAAGGGCCTTCTCCAGATTATGGGGGCAATGCACTTTTCTTGGTGTGTTTATATTTTCTATATCAGTTACTTTCGAAGCAATCTTTTTCCCTAGAAACCATTAATTCTCCACAAGACATAGACTTTCCTTTGGATCTAGGTAAAGAGGAAGAGTGAACAACATCCAGTCACCCGCAATATGGAAATATGATCTCACTTCACTATGTGGAAGTCCCTAGCTGCTTCCTGAAGCAGACAGTATACAGTACTGTTCCCAACATGCAAATACCCCCGCAAAAAAAGTCCCTTCCCACCAAAAAAAAACCTACAAAACAAAGTCCCAAACAGAAATCCCAGACTGACCTTCTAGCACACTCAGGATGTTTTAGCAGCTGGGAAATTCAGTTTGTATTGGGCTGAGTTCAAATATTCAGCTGTTTCCAAAGATATTTGCTGTTTATTACACTGTGGATAAACTATTTTATATCATATGTCTTAGCTTCCTCATTTCAAAGCCCTCTCAGTATTCTACCTGACTCTTTCCAGCACGGCTTCCAATTTCTCCCACCTAGCTCCTCCATGACCCCACCCCTCTTCTCACCATCGGGCCCACACCTTCTCTCATCAGGACCCCTCAACCATTCTGGCTCATCCCTCTGGCCCACAAAAGTCTCCACCATTCTCTGACTCTCTCCAATTCCTTTCCAGCCCATTCTTCCAATTTCTCATATATCCCACATGCAGAATTCCTACTTTCCCAGCTTCATAGACTTCCCAACACCCAAGCCTTGGATTACTGACCATGTTCCTGGATTCCTGGCCACCCAATATTGAAATTTCAATTCCACTTACGGCAGATCAATGGTCTTGGATCTCCAGGTACAGGAAGCAAGGGGTTCTGGTACCCAGCCTCCTGTAGTCACAAACTTCCAGTTCCCATATTCTAAGGTTTCCAACTTCCAGGAATCAACCACAAAGGGCTGAGACCCAGCTAAGAAAGTTCTTCTTCATCCAGGGCAATGCATGCCATCTTCTCTGCTCTTAAAAGCCTCAAAGCCCAAAGAGCCCAAAGGGCATGATGACCTAATTGTGTTTGTTGAAGCATTGGAAGGCAGAAAAACACAAGCCACTCAAGTGAACCATCAATAGGGAATGAAAAGCTATTTTGGTTTTAAGGAATGTTAGTTCATGGACACAAAGACCAAATCACTCTACCTATGTTGACATGGAAAAATCTCCATGTACAAGTGGTTAGGTATCCATAACAAAATACTGTATAATTTTAAAACCTTAGAATTATTCACAGTTTAATCTTTATGCAGATATGATCTTATCTAACTTTTCATAATTAAGTTATAGATTCTAGTTTGGCAGAACAAATTATAACTTGTTGGTATTAGAGAATACTTATTCAACGGAGGTTAGGTCAAGGTGAAGATCCATCAGATATCTCTTGTGTTTGAGGTGTTATGTTTTTAACAAAATGTATGCATGTTTTTACTTGTTATCAAAAACAAAGTTTTAGGGCACATGGGTGGGTAAGTTGGTTAAATGATTGTCTTTGGTTCAGATGATGATCCTGGAGTCACAGGACTGAGTGCCACCTGGGGCTCCCTGCTACAGGGAGGCTGCTTCTCTCTCTGACCTTCCCTCCATTATGCGCTCTCTCTCTCTCTCTCTTTTTTTCTCTCTCAAAAAAAATTTTTTGGGGCACCTGGGTGGTGCAGTGGGTTAAGCCTCTGCCTTTGGCACAGGTCATGATCTCAGGGTCTTGGGATCGAGCCCCACATTGGGCTCTTGGCTCAGCAGGGAACCTGCTTCCCCCTCTCTCTCTGCCTGCCTCCTGTGTCTCTCGGGCAAATAAATAAATAAAATATTTAATAAATACATAAATTTTGGAATATTTTAAATAAGGTGCCCTCTCCTGATAAAGACAAGAATACCATTGCTAAAAAGCAAAATATAAGCAACAGCAATTAGACAACAAAGAGAAATAAAAGGTATCCAAATTGGCAATGAAGAAGTCAAACTCTCTCTTCGCAGATGATATGGCTCTTTATATGGAAAACCCAAAAGACTCCACCCCCAAATTATTGGAACTCATACAGAAATTCAGTAACGTGGCAGGATACAAAGTCAATGTACAGAAATCAGTGGCTTTCTTATACACTAACAATGAAAATACAGAAAGGGACATTAGAGAATCGATTCCATTTACTATAGCACCAAGAACAATAAGATACCTAGGAATAAACCTAACCAAAGAGGTAAAAGATCTGTACTTGAGGAACTATGGAACACCCATGAAAGAAATTGAAGATGGCACAAAAAGATGGAAGACCATTCCATGCTCTTGGATCGGAAGAATGAACATTGTTAAAATGTCTCTACTGCCTAGAGCAATCTATACTTTTAATGCCATTCTGATCAAAATTCCACCGGTATTTTTCAAAGACCTGGAGCAAATAATCCTAAAATTTGTATGGAACCAGAATAGACCCCGAATCACTAAGGAAATGTTGAAAAACAAAAACAAAACTGGCGGCATCACGTTACCTGATTTCAATCTTTACTACAAAGCTGTGATCACCAAGACAGCATGCTACTGGCATAAAAACAGACAAATACACCAGTGGAACAGAGTAGAGAGCCCAGATATGGACCCTCAACTCTATGGTCAGTTAATCTTCGACAAAACAGGAAAAAATATACAGTGGAATAAAGACAGTCTCTTCAATAAATGGTGCTGGGAAAACTGGACAGCTATATGTAGAAGAATGAAACTCGACCATTCTCTTACACCATACACAAAGATAAACTCAAAATGGATAAAAGACCTCAACGTGAGACAGGAATCCATCAGAATCCTAGAGTAGAACATGGGCAGCAACCTCTTCGATATCAGCTACAGCAACTTCTTTCAAGATATGTCTCCAAAGGCAAAGGAAACAAAAGCCAAATAAACTTTTGGGACTTCATCAAGATCAAAAGCTTCTGCACAGCAAAGGAAACAGTCAACACAAGAAAGAGGCAACCCACGGAATGGGAAAAGATATTTGCAAATGACAGTACAGACAAAAGGTTGATATCCAGGATCTATAAAGAACAACTCAAACTCAACAAACACAAAACAGACAATCATATCAAAAAATGGGCAGAAGATATGAACAGACACTTCTCCAATGAAGACATACAAATGGCTATCAGACACATGAAAAAATGTTCATCATCACTAGCCATCAGGGAGATTCAAATTAAAACCACATTGAGATACCACCTTACACCATTTAGAATGGCCAAAATTAGCAAGACAGGAAACAACATGTGCTGGAGGGGATATGGAGAAAGGGAACCCTCTTACACTGTTGGTGGGAATGCACGTTGGTGCAGTCACTTTGGAAAGCAGTGTGGAGATTCCTCAAGAAATTAAAAATAGAGCTTCCCTATGACCCTGACATTGCACTACTGGGTGTTTACCCCAAAGATACAGATGTAGTGAAAAGAAGGGCCATCTGTACCCCAATGCTCATAGAAGCAATGGCCACAGTCGCCAAACTGTGGAAAGAAACAAGATGCCCTTCAACGTACAAATGGATAAGGAAGATGTGGTCCATATACACTATGGAGTATTATTCCTCCATCAGAAAGGATGAATCCCCAACTTTTGTAGCAACATGGATGGGACTGGAAGAGATTATGCTGAGTGAAATAAGTCAAGCAGAGAGAGTCAATTATCACATGGTTTCACTTATTTGTGGAGCATAACAAATAGCATGGAGGACATGGGGAGATGGAGAGGAGAAGGGAGTTGAGGGAAATTCGAAGGGAAGGTGAACTATGAGAGACTATGGACTCTGAAAAACAATCTGAGGGTTTTGAAGGGGCAGAGGGTGGGAGGTTGGGGGAGCCAGGTGGTGGGTATTATGGAGGGCACATATTGCATGGAGCACTGTGTGTGGTGCAAAAACAATGAATACTGTTACACTGAGAAGAAATAAAAAAATGAACATTTTGAGCTTCTCATTAAAAAAAATAAAAAAATAAAAAGCAAAATATATGCATAACATATTCCAACTCTAAATCTTAATTAGTTCTCTGCCCACAACACTTCTTGAAATTCCTGATGTATATGGAACATCTGGTATCTCTTCTTAAGCTGTGGATTCTGAGTGAGTAGCCATAGGACATTTACCTTTGTAAATGGTAAGCAGGACTTGGGGAACAATCCCATGGTATCCATGTTAAATACTCATTTCAAAATACTTTGAAAGCCCATACCTGAATTGGGTCACAATTCCTTATGCTACCTCCAAGCTCAACCCCATGGAATGGAAACAAAAAAGAAGAGGTACAGAAAAAAGAAGGGGTACCAGAAAGAAGAGGTACCAGAAAGAATAAAGCAGTCATTATTTAGAGAAGGCATGTTTGTCTGCTGAGAAAGCTTCGGAGAATTCACTGGGAAATACTGACAGTCTAATCACATCTGGATAGCAAGGTCAACATTCAAGATGCAATGGTTTTCCTATCAAAGGAAAAACTTTAAAATGCAAAAGCCCAGTGTTGGGTATCAAGGAGGGAACATATTGCCTGGAGCACTGGGTGTTATACTCAAACAATGAATCATGGAACACTACATCAAAAACTAATGATGTGCTGTATGGTGACTAACATAACAATAAATTTTAATAATAAAATTTAAAAATTAAAATAAATATAATCAATTAATTAATTAAATTTAAAAATAAAATAAAATTTAAAACTAAAACTTCTAAGTACCTGAGAACTTAGTGTAGTTTCTCAAGAAGAAAACTGTCAAATGTAAAATAAGAAATAAGAAATCATAACCTAGAGAAAGAGTTATGTTGGTGGGGTGGAGAAGTCTTCATATTATTAAGAAGCTATTATTTCCAGGGACACCTGGGTGGCTCAGTTGGTTAAGACACTGCCTTTGGCTCGGATCATGACCCCAGGGTCCTGGGATCAGGTCCCTCATTGGGCTCCTTGCTCAGCGGGGAGCCTGCTTCTCTCGCTGCCTCTGCCTGCCTCTCTGCCTGCTTGTGTGTTCTCTCTCTCTCTCTCTCTCTTTTGGCCAAATAAATAAAATATTTTTTAAAAAGAAGCTATTATTTCCAAACCATGAGAGACTTGACTTGAGAAACAAACTGAGGGTTTAGGATGGGAGGAGGAATGGGGGCTTGGGCGGGTCTGGTGGTGGGTATTAAGGAGGGCATGTATTGCATGGAGCACTGGGTGTGGTGCACAAACAATAAATCTTGGAACACTGAAAAATAAAATTAAATTTAAAAAATAAAAAATTAAACTACAAAAAAATACTGAAGCACATTTACTCTTAGTTATAATTTTTCAGTTCCACAAAGACTATGAATTCTGTGGTGCCTGAGTGGCTCAGTCAGTTAAGCATCTGCCTTCAGCTCAGGTCATGATCCCAGGGTCCTGGGATCCAGCCCCATGTCCGGTTTCCTGCTCAGTGGGAGTCTGCTTGTCCCTCTCCTTCTGCCCTTCCTCTCTCTGCTCCTGCTCTCTTCTTGTGTGCTCTCTCTCACACACAAATAAATGGATAAAATAGTTTTTTAAAAAAGAAGTTATTTCCAAACTCATCAGTCAATGCAATCACAATAAAAATCCCAAGACATTTTTTGGAATTTAGTAAACTAGCCATAAACTGTGTATAGAAGAAAAAATGTGACAGAAGTGACAGTTCACTTGAAGAATAGGTGAACAGGTGCTCACAATGGCCTATTTCTACTCTCTACTTTGTCTTGACCAAACATTAATCAGGTCTCTCTCTTTCCTACAGGCCCCTGAATTCTGTTTACCCTCAAATCTGAGCAAGTACCAAAAAAGTGGAACATACCCTTCCCATCAACCTTTCCTGGGAATTGGCTGACCACAGCAAGACCCTCTTTTTGTCACAACACACTGATGATTTCCCCTTATTTGTCCAGCTTCCCCTCCAAAAATGCTGCTTATTCTGTCTGCTTCCTCCTTTACCCTATAAAATAAAAACATTTTTCTGTATTTTGAGATGCTCATCGATTTCTGAGATCAGAAACTTCTCCCTGCTGCAATAGTCCTTCTAAGTAACTTGTCTCTTTATTCAAGCCCAGATTTAAATTTATTGGACATAAAACACAGAAATTGCCTCATAATATCTATAAAAGCAAAACCATGGCATTTCTTAATGTGTGGTAATGTTCCAGGAATAGAAGTTGATTCTATGAATCAAAATAAAGGACACATCACATATAGCAATGTAACATTTCATAAAAATGACATTTCAAATCAGTGTGTGAAGCATTGCATGTGAAGTCAGGGAAGTCACAGATTTCCTCAATAAATGGTGTCAGGACAACAGCCTATTCATTTAGAACAAATTATTTACTGAACAAATTCCAGGCATATTAAAATCTACTAAAATTATTAGAATATTGGAAAATGAGGGGCAATCTCCTAGGCAAGCTTAAAGCAAAATGCGTATATTCAATAATTGAAAACCTGGACCAAAATAAAATTGTAAGTTTATAGTGATACCACCCCTAACTCATCTTTATTAGGATTGTAATAGGATTGATGTTTACCCTGTTCGTTATCCATGTGAGCATGGACATGCAGAATCATCAAGTGGCATGGGTTTTCCAAGATACCCCCCAAAGCCGTACAATGAACAGGGTGTGCAAGTCATTGAGGACCTACCACAGCAGGTGACTTTTCGACTGATGCATATTCAGTGTCTGTCCCACCTGCCAACTTGTTTGCAGAGTCCCATCCCTGGGGAGGTCCTGAGATAGGCCAGTCTATTAGCCATCAGAGTCCAGTTTGGAAGGGGCGGCTGGATTGTATCTGATTACAATCTATTCTTCTGATTCCTAGGGCTCCTGTTAAGAAAAAGACAAGGGTGAATCAAGAGAGTCTAAGAGGAGGTGAACCATGAGAGACTATGGACTCTGAAAAACAATCTGAGGGTTTTGAAGGGGTGGGAGTGAGACGTTGGGGGAACCAGGTGGTGGATATTGGAGAGGGCACAGATTGCATGGAGCCCTGAGTGTGGTGCAAAAACAATGAATACTGTTACACTGAAAATAAATTTAAAAAATTAAAAAAAAAAAAAAGAGGGACTATGACTAGGGGTACCTGGCTGGCTAAGTAGGTCGAGCATGTGACACTTGATCTTGGGCTGGTCATTTCAACCACCACATTGGGTAAAATAAATAAATAAATAAATAAATAAATAGTGTGAAGAGACATTTCATATGGAACATCACTATTTCCTTGCATACTCTTTAGTATTGTTGTGAAATAAAAATAACAATTGTATTAATAATTCTCCATATTAATTGCCTGTGTATACACTTAAAACATGTTTAGTTTTGCAATTCTTTGTAATTCTTTTTTCCCTTTTGGTTATGTTTTTCTATATCTACTGAAATGTACATTTTATGTTTGTTGAATCTAATAACAATAAATTAAACTTGGATTCAAAAAGAGAGAGATTATTGGCATATAACTGTTGATAACTTCTGATGATTGTTTCTACTTCCTTGGCGTTAGTTGTGATCTCTCCCTTTTCATTCATGATTTTATGAATTTGGGCTTTCTCTCTTTTCTTTTGGATTAGTGTGGCCAATGGTTTATCGATCTTATTGATTCATTCAAAAAACCAGCTTCTAGTTTCATTGATACGTTCTACTGTATCTCTGGTTTCTACCTCATTGATCTCTGCTCTAATCTTGATGATTTCCCTTCTTATGTGTGGAGTTGGTTTGATTTGTTGTTGATTCTCCAGTTCTTTAAGGTGTAGAGAGAGCTGCTGTGTTCTGGATTTTTCAATTTTTTGGAGAGAGGCTTGGATGGCTATGTATTTTCCCCTTAGGACTGCCTTTGCTGTATCCCATCGGTTTTGGACTGAAGTGTCTTCATTCTCATTGGTTTCCATGAATTGTTTCAGTTCTTCTTTGATCTCCTGGTTGATCCAAGCATTCTTAAGCAAGGTGGTCTTTAGCTTCCAGGTGTTTGAGTTCCTTCCAAAATTTTCACTGTGATTGAGCTCCAGTTTCAAAGCATTGTGCTCTGAGAATAGGCAGGGAATAATCTCAGTCTTTTGGTATCGGTTGACTCCTGATTTGTGACCCAGTATGTGGTCTATTCTGGAGAAGGTTCCATGTGCACTTGAGAAGAATGAGTATTCTGTTGTTTTAGGGTGGAATGTTCTGTATATATCTATGAGGTCCATTTGGTCCAATGTGTCATTCAATGCTCTTGTTTCTTTATTGATTTTCTGCTTCGATGATCTGTCTATTTCTGAGAGAGACATGTTAACATCTCCTACTATTAATGTATTCATATCAATATGACTATCTTGATTAGCAGTTTTCTTATGTAATTGGCTGCTCCCATATTGGGGGCATAGATATTTACAATTGTTAGATCATCTTGGTGGATAGTCCCTTTAAGAATGATGTAGTGTCCTTCTGTATCTCTGACTACAGTCTTTAGTTTAAAATCTAATTTATCTGATACGAGAATCACTACCCCAGCCTTCTTTTGAGGCCCATTGGCATGAAAGATGCTTCTCCATCCCTTCACTTTTCAGTCTGGGTGTATCTTTAGGTTCAAAATGGGTCTCTTGTAGACAACATATGGATGGGTCCTGTTGTTTTACCCAATCTGCAACCCTGTGCCATTTTATGGGCACATTTAGGCCATTCATATTGAGAGTGATTATTGATAGATACGTTTTTATTGACATCGTGTTACCTTTGAAGTCTTTCTTTCTGTAGATGTTTCTATATTTCAGTTCAATGCTATTCTTAGGATTTTTCCTCTTTTATAGAACCCCCCCTTAATATTTCCTGCAGTGTTGGCTTGGTGGTTGCGTAGTCTTTTAAGCCTTGCTGGTCTTGGAAGCTCTTTATCTCTCCATCCATTTTGAATGTCAGTCTTGCTGGAAAAAAGTATTCTTGGCTGCATGTTCTTCTCATTTAGTGCCCTGAATATATCTTGCCAGCCCTGTCTGGCTTGCCAGGTCTCTGTGGACAGGTCTGACGTTATTCTGATGGGCTTTTCTCTGTAAGTAAGGAGCCTCTTTGTCCTAGCAGCTTTCAAGAGATTATACCAACAATTATGATTCCTCAATTTGACTATCAGTGCCTTGATGTTTTTCTGGAATCTATAATCTTGGGTGGAGACTGTTCGGCCTCTAGTACATGAACGCTGGTTCCATTCACGAGATTGGGAAAATTTTCATGAAGAACTTGTTCCACTATATCTTCTAGACTTCTTTCTTTTACCTCCCCTTCAGGGATTCCAATAATTCTCACGTTGGAATATTTCATGGCATCATTTATTTCCCTGATTCTGTTTTCATGGTTTCTAAGTTGTTTGTTCCAGGCTTCCTCTTGATCCTTTCTCTCTATCTGTTTGTCCTCCAGATCACTAATTCTATCTTCTGTCTCAGTTACCCTAGCTTTGAGAGAATTTAGGTTAGATGGGAACTCATTGAGAGCATTGTGAACCTCATCCCTGGTAGCTTTTAGCTCTGCCCTAACATTGTGAACATCCTGTGTGGTCGCTTTCAGCTAGGCCCTAATCAATTCCGTTTGGTCATCCATGGCTTTCTCCAACCTAGCTATTGCCTGGATAATTATTAGCCTGAATTCTCTTTCTAACATATTGTCTATCAGCCACAGCAACTTCTTTCAAGATATGTCTCCAAAGGCAAAGGAAACAAAAGCCAAATAAACTTTTCGGATTTCATCAAAATCAAAAGCTTCTGCACAGCAAAGGAAACAGTCAAGAAAACAAAGAGGCAACCCACAGAATGGGAGAAGGTATTTGCAAATGACAGTACAGACAAAAGTTTGATATCCAGGATCTATAAAGAACAACTCAAACTCAACACACACAAAACAGATAATCATATCAAAAAAATGGGCAGAAGATATGAACAGACACTTCTCCAATGAAGACATACAAATGGCTATCAGACACATGAAAAAATGTTCATCATCACTAGCCATCAGGGAGATTCAAATTAAAACCACATTGAGATACCACCTTACACCAGTTAGAATGGCCAAAATTAGCAAGACAGGAAACAACATGTGCTGGAGGGGATGTGGAGAAAGGGGAACCCTCTTACACTGTTGAATACTGTTATGCTGAAAATAAATTAAAAAATGATTTAAAAATAAATAAATAAAATAAAATAAAAAGAGAGATTACTTTAAAAAATAAGATTTTTTTAAAAAAGAGAGAATATCATTTTGATTTATGAACATATTTTAATTAAAATTTTGTATTTGAAAGGAGAAATTTGGCCTTATTTCCTCTGTTAAAACTCCATCTGTTGCTATTGTGTTTGTTGTTTTTTATTCTTTTTTTTTTCAGCATAATAGTATTCCTTGTGTTTGCATCACACCCAGTGCTCCATGCAATCCCTGCCCTCTCTAATACCCACCACCTGGTTCCCCTAACTTCCCACCCCCGCCGCTTCAAACCCCTCAGATTGTTTTTCAGAGTCCATAGTCTCTCATGTTGTTCTTTATTCTTTTATCCCTGTGAAGATGGATGTTCTTGCTCTGGGGTAATATTTACCTCTTGACTTTTCAAACTAGGAAGTTTCAGTATTCCCTTATTTACCAGAATAACCTTAGAGGCCTAAAATTGTTGGTGGTTTCCATTCCAATTTAGCTGCCCCTTGAATTCAAGTGAATATTTTCTCTTCTTCCTTTACCCGTCTCCAAAAATAAAGCAGGTGACAAGGTTTTCGGGGAGAGAAATATTTATTTTGACAGAAGAAGCCATATTCAGAGTCTGAATGCATGTGATACAATTAAAAAATTAGAATTATTTAACAAAAGATATATAGATATAGATACATATTTTCACACATATGTATTCTTAGTGCCTTAAAGTCAGTAAGAAAAATAAAGTCGGGTGCCTGGGTGGCTCAGTGGGTTAAGCCTCTGCCTTTGGTTTAGGTCATGGTATCAGGGTCCTAGGATCTAGCCCCGTGTTGGGTTCTCCGCTCAGCAGGGAGCCTGTTTCCCCCTCTCTCTCTGCCTGCCTCTCTGCCTATTTGTGATCTCTCTCTGTCAAATAAAATCTTTAAAAAGAAAAAGAAGAGAAAAATACAGTG